TGGAATGTACAGTTGCTGATACATTGAGGAAAATTTGTTTTGGAAGTGTTTTCTTTTGTTTGCGCCAGAACTCAGAAATGTGTAGACGCTTGTGTTTTTATTATGCTGTGGATGTTGTCAGCTGAATTTTCAGAAGCTTCACCAGCAGAATCATCTAGATTTTTCTGAATTGAGATTATGGGTCAATAGTCTAATTTTACAAAACATTCCAACCCTGATATTGCCTGTGTCCTAGATCTAGACCAGTGGCCCTCAAAATGTGGTCCCTGGATCACAACACCTGGGAACGGATCAGAAATGTAAATACTCCAACAGATGCCAGACCTACTGGCTTAGAATTTCTGGGGCTGAGGTCCAGGAGTCTGGGTTTTAATGTGCCCCCCACCCCTGCCGCACCCCAGGTAACGCTGATGCACACTGCAGTTTTAGAACCACTAATCTAGACTATTTACAGCCATGTTTTTAGAAAGGAGCTGGAGAAATAACTAGAATTTGGAGCATTATTGAAAATCAGCCCTTTTTAACTCAAATGTCTGTGATTAAAAAGGGTGAAAAAAAAAACAGCCTCACTTACCTATTCACAGGGATCCAGAAACTCCATTAAAAAACCCAACTGCTAAAGAATGGGTATTTAAGTTCATTAAGATTTCTAGTTAGCTGGAATTTAATTAAAAAACACTTTTCCTCCAACTCTGGATGTCAAAAACCTTTCCAAAAATGCTAAAGTTGTTCTTCCAGGTGCTAATGCTGGCCTGAAGGAGGGCACTGGGCAAGTTCTACATCTCTCCACCCTCTCTCTTGCCTCTGCCTCAGTCTCCTCAACTTTGCTCTCTCTCCCTTTGCATTCATCCTGACTCTTCCTCTGCTCCTCTTGCCTCTCCACCCCCAGACTCCTCCTCTTCCTTCCCAGTTTCATCTCCTTCTCTGGAAGTTCATTCCCGGACTCAGAGGAATTCTTGGACATAAAAAGGCACAGCCCTGAAGGTAGGGCTCCATGCCCGCACCATTTTATCCCCTAAACTCCCTGGCCTCTTGCTGCTTTCCGCAGGCATGTTTTAGAGACACATGAATTAAATGAAAAAGCGTATATGTCAGTCTTTAAATATTTTTAAAATTGTTTTTAAGTGAAAGCATTTGACTAGAAGCCACATCATTTTAAAATTCTGGGAATTTTCAAGAAAAAAGAGAGGAAGATTTTAAAGTCTGCTGCTTACAATTTCCTTAAGATAAGCCAATCAGGCATCATAGCAGACCAGTAATCTCATATGTATATATTTGGTGACCATGAGTTCTAGAAGTTAGCAAACCCAAATATTTTAGAGTCGCCTGGAATTCCTACTACATCAAAAGGCTGAGAAGTTGAATCACTTTGGCCATAGGTTGTAGGTAACGTGTTGAGGAGTTTATTTCACTTCCAAGTGCATAGCAAAGAGTGGCCCGCTATAACTTATCTGGCTGATAAAACTACAGGAGCTCTTTCTGTAGGCTTGATTACATGTGCAGCATGAAGAAATACATGGTGGTTTTGTGAAGGCAGGGGCCATCAGTCCTTTCACATACATTGCGCTGTCTTCCAAGTAGGATGCAAAGACTGGGTCAGTGATGTCCCATGGCCACATCCAGGGATGAAGCCCTTCCACAAGTGAGACCAAAGGAAACGGGCACTGAGACTGAGGTAAAACCTCGTTGATCTGATGTAAGAAAATACCCAAAACCTGCAGGCCAAAACCACTCACAGGACCAGCTGATACGATGTGAATTTTAGCCTCTTTCATGTCATCTGATGATCTCAGCAGAGAACAAAAAGGTCCAGTGTTCACCTGGTCCTGCCCTTGAGGGACTATTTGGGTTCTCCAGAAGTGGACCCCAAGGCAAAGACTGGGTACCTGTGACTTATCTGGGAGGTAATCCCAGGAGGCACAGGGAAGGGAGGGCAGTGAGCCAGGGAAGGGAACCAATGAAGGAGTGTGATGAGCAGGTTGCCATTGTAGACAGCTCAGTCCTGCTGGGGTCCCTCTGAGGGACCATGTGGAACACGACTCTGAACTGTCGCTAGGAGGGATGGGGAACTTATCCACCTATCCCGGTCCACAGCAGCTGAGGGTTGTTCCTGAGGTGTTAATAGCCAGCGCTTCTGGACTACTCATATGGGCCGTGCATGTTCCCAGAGCCCGAGATGCAGGCAGTGATCGGGGTGTTCAGCATGTCTGAGTGACCACTGGGACGGCCCAGGGTATGTGGACAGGACACTAACATCAAGGTCCATGGGGCCACCTATTGCCGAGAACTCTCTGGCTTCGTGTCTGGCCTCTGAGTACATCGATTCCCTGACTATTCTTTGGAGGTGGAGAATGAACCACAAACACAAAAGACCCCAACTCCTGTCTACACTTATCGCGGCTGAGCTGCAAGGCTCTGAAGTCATTTCACCTCACCAAGGGTGAGTTTCCTCACTGGCCCAGAGAAGGATTTGGACTAGGTCATTTCTGAGAATAAAACCTGCCCCTCCAATAACCACAGGCTGTTCTGAGGCTCCTACAGGCTTGCACAAAGCCCTCCCCAGCTCCCTGCATCTGCCTACTGTGTTTATGAATTCTACTATTATCCAAGGACTACCTGCATCTTATTCACTCTGTATTTGTCTTTAAATGTACTCATTTTTACGTAGATTTGTTTGGAAATCTATATGTCATCTGCTGTAAATAACAGGTAATTCTAAAAAATTCACAAGTATTAAATATCACTCCTCCATGCACTTTCTAAAGTCACCTCCCATTTCACCAGGGTTCTGCACCCACACTGTGGAGAAAATCAAGCTGGTGTCTATCACATCAAGTGTTCTGTAATAATAACAGTGACCGGGGATTGAGCACCACCAGGTGATGGGCAAGTCATACACATTATTACATCATTTAGTTCTCACTAGGCACATTGACTTTCACTCCTATGGTGGGTGGGGAGTATTGTGGTTCCATTTCACAGATGAAGAAGCTGAGGCTCTGAGGGACAAGGCAATTGGCCCACAGTCTCGCAGATGCTCAGCAGTAGCAGGAGGTTCCTAATCACAGGCTACACTCCTCGTTGGGGCTGTGCAGCCCACTTGTGGGCAGTACTGTCTTACCTGGACCCAGGGGCCAGTCATGCCAATTCCCTGTGCTGGCGTCACCCAAATTCTTGGTAGCATCTTTCCCCAGAACCTTCATAATATTCTTACAGGGCTGATACTTCAAATGTCCACACTCTATGTCACAATATACATAAAGGTGTACTATGCGATGCTTTTTCCTTATTTTTCATTATCTATGTTGCTTTATTTTTTCTACTGAGAATATGGATCGCTTTTGTAAAAAAAGAGAAAAACAACAGAAAGTTTAAGCTTGTTTTTTAAATTCACTGTCATTTTCCATCAAGGGTAAAAGAGGAACCCCATTCTTTCTCCCCTTTATTTGAAGAGTACCCAGGATGGCACTGCGTGAGTGACAAGTGAGGAGAAAGCCCTGCATGCAGTGAGGACAGATGCTCACAAGACAACATGTGGAAGTGTTGGGGAGAGGGCCTGGGAGGGCCTGTGGGGTGCTGTGAAGGATGCTAGGGCCCCGTGTCTGAAGGCCATGTTCTGGCAGTCTGAGGTTGCCACCAAACAGAAGAATGGGGATGATCTACAGGTGTCAACAGAATAGCAGGGTGACGTCAGACACTACTAAGGCCCAGCTCCCAGCTGAGACGTCCAACAGGCTCAAGGCCATCGTTCTCCAGGCCAACTATTGAGCGTGTGTCCTCAGGGCCCTCCTGAGGCGCATTCTCACTGCCATCTCTGTGTTTCTATCTAGGGTGCCCACGTGTCCTACTAGCGGGCCTGAGACAGTCCCAGCCTGCATTGACTGACTTGTGTAATTAAGGACAGCACCCTCTTTCGCACACTGTCCTGGTTTGAACATATTATACATGCTCACACGCAGAGGGGCAGGTAACATAGACAAAGCAAAACTGGGTTTCCCTAGATTCTAGTTCTGATTTTCCCCTCAACCAGCAGAGTAATCCTAGACAGCAAAGGCTGGACAAAGTGAAGGGATGGCAAACATCCCGTGCTAACCCTGACTGTCCAAAGAGGCTGCCTGGAGTTCCCTGGGCATGGCAGGGAAGAGTCTGCGGTTTTGTCAGCAATTTTGATGAGTTGTAGGCATGGAAGGGGTGGGGAAGGGTAGCCCACGTGCCCTAATTAAGCAGCCCTTCCACTAAATAGTCTCCATGGATCATTCCGCTGTGATATTTGAGCTCAAAAATGATCAGAAAAGGGCCATGCTTAAAGCTATCTGCCATCCCTGATTCTGTACAACCCTGGTGATCCAGAATCATTCTGCTTTCTGGTGGTGGGATTCTCCTGGCAAAAGCAGAAAATCCAATCAGTTAGTGAGAATGATGATGAAGAATCCCAAGAAGGAAATCACCCCTGTTCTGCAAAGAACAACTCCACATAACCCTGCAGGAAAGTCAAGTGGCTAAGAACCCCTGGCATCTCCCCTGGGGCTATTGGTCATGCTATAAGAGGGCGCTCTAGGGGAAGTAGAAATTTCTTCCTCTGTTCTCTTGAGACTTCTCCTGTGGAGCAGCAATCTCAAAACTCTTAGCCAACAGGACAGAGGTATTGCTGTGTCCAAATAACCACTGCCCAAAGCAAGGTCCTTCCTAAATTCGGTGTTGGGGATCGGTATGACAGGTAAAACAGCCACTTGTCATTGTGATGTCAGCAGGTTTTGCTAGCTTAGCATAGCCAACAAGCTTCATAGCCTGTGTTTCTCCCAGGAGAGAGGGGTGTGTGTATGGATGTGTGAGTTCACTCACAAAGACGCAGTTGAAATGAACAAGTCGAGAGAGAGTGACTGCAAAAGAAGTAGTGACCGCTAAAGTAACACAAAGAGAAGCATGTAAAACATGCACTTCCACCATTCCGTTCAATACTGTAATTAAGCTACATAAGCCCAAGGATGTGTTCCGCTCACCTTGTTAAGCCGTTCAAGCATTTCTTTTAGCAGGAGTTGACATTCACACTCATTTTCGTACCTGCAAATTGGACACGTAAGTGAGAGTTGGGTGGCTACCGTGCTTTCATATGTATGGATCACATAATCAGCATTAAATTCAACCTGGGTACGATGCCCTCTCCTTTAAGGAGAGGGTCTTAATTTTAAAGTAGTAGCTAATGAATGCTGCATTTCCTAGCCAACTGCCTCCCAATCAGAAAGTGGTAACATTTACAAACTGCATGGAGTAACCAGGGGCAGTTAGCCAAATAGGAGACTCCCAGCCTGAAGGCCCCAACCCCAGCCCCTACAGTCTTATTCCCAGCCACCCCAAGGACGAGGGAATTATATCCTGGCCTATCTAAAACCCAAGTGCAGCAGTGGCAGAGATGGGAGACTGCCCTGCACAATCTACACCACCATTAACCTGACCGTACTTGGATTTCCTATACTATTTTATTTGCTGACACATGTAATGTGTCAATTTTTCCAGATTATGTCATTTAATCCTTACATCACCCTAGAAGAAAGCAGTTATTGTTAGTGCTGCGTTAAAGATGAGGAAACTCAGGCAGATGCTCCCAACACTTCGCCCTCCTCCTAGCAGCATCACTCCCCACACAGCGACAGCCTCCTCTGGGCAAGTGGGTGGGGCAGGCTGGACATGCCAAGGAGTTAGGGCCTCTGGGAGCAGCCCCCAAACTCTGAAAGAGGCAAATTGGAGCATAAGTACCCTAGCTCCTTTTCTGCTCAGCTGGGACAACTGAGGCACGTTCTATACCCAGCAAGTGGAGCTCCAGTTGCCCATGATGGGAACTTGCTTGCTAGTGCACTCAACACTGGCTGTCTTCCCTTCCTGTCTCACCTCTTAACTCCCCTACTGGTGTTCCCCGAGGACATGTTCCAAAGAAGCCACTTGCCCTCAAATTCCTGTCTCAGGCTTGGCTTCTGGTGGACTCCAAACTAAGAGAAGGGTGGAGTCAGACCTGAGACTTGAGTTAGACACCAAAACTGTGCTTTGATAACCATGCTATATTGTCTGGATAGAGAAACGAACTCCCCCAATTTAAACATTCACAAGATTAAGAAAGCAACAAATACCAGGAGCAGGTGTTTTTGTTTGTTTGTTACTTGGTTTTTTTCTCCTAGTCAATTTCTTTCTGGACTTCTAGAAAATGATGGGGATTGGGGAAGCACAGACTTCAGAAATCATTCTGGTCACAATGAAGGTTTCCCTCTGCGGGTATTTTAACCCTGAAGAGAGAAGATTCCTTCCTAAATGACTCCTCCCCTTGTTCCCTATAAGGTGACCCACAAATGCCCATTCTCACCTTCTTCAGGAGTTTGAGCCCTTGATGTTTGGCAAGCACAGGACTGCCTAGAAGGGAGACTACATTTTCCAGCATTCCTTGCAGCCAGGTGTGGCCATGTGACAAAGTCCTGACCAATGGGATGGAAGCCTAAGTCTGCATGGCAGCTTTCAGATACCTTTAGTAAGCAATGGTGTATGTGTGCCCTTTGCTTCTCATTTTCCATCCCTCCCTCCATCCTGCAGCCAGAAACATGAATGCTGCCTTCCTGAAGGCCACACAGAACCTTCCACGTCCCAAATACTGTAGAGCATCATACTAAACTGCTTAACCAGACCTTACACAAGCGAGAAACATTTTGGATAAGCCAATGACATTTTGGGTAAGCCACTGTCACTTTTTCTGATTTTTTTCTGTGTGTGTGTGGGGGGGGGGGCGGGGGTGGCAAAATACGCATAACATAAAATTTACCATCTTAACCATTTTAAGTATACAGTTGGTGATATTAAATACATTCATAATGTTGTAAAATCACCACCAACATCCATCTCTGTAACTCCTCATCTTGCAAAGCGGAGACTCCGTACCCATTAAATACTAACTCCCCATTCTCCCCATCCCCAGCCCTGGCAACCACCATTGTACTTTCTGTCTCTGTGAATTTGGCTAGCCCAACTACCTTATGTAAGTGGAATCATACAATATTTTTCTTTTTGTAACTGGCTTATTTCACTTAGCATAATGTCTTCAAGTTTCAACCATATTATAGCATATGTCAGAATTTCCTTCCTTTTTTAGGGTGTATAATATTCTATGTATCCACCACATTTTATTTATCTATTCCTTTGTCGATGGACACTTGGGTTGCTGCTACATTTAAGGGAGCTATCTAGGAAGCTATCTGTTGTGAACAATGCTGTTACGAACATGTGTATACAAGTAGCTATTCAAAACCCTCTTTCAATTATTTCAATTCTTTTGGGTATATGTACAGAAATGGAATTGTTGCATCATATGGTAATTCTATTTTTTAATTTTTTGAGGAACTGCCATACTGTTTTCCACAATGGCTGTACCATTTTACAGTCCCATTAACAGTCCACAATGTCTCCACATCCTAACAAACACATATTTTCTGTTTGTTTATTTTTTTTATAGTTGCCATCCTAATTGGTCTGAAGTGGGCCATGGTCAATTTGGAGTTTATGTCATTTATAGTTGAAAGCAATCCTAATTAACACTGAGCCCAACCCACAAAGCATAGTTTTCTGTGCCCTTGCATGCCCATGCCATGGGTTCAAGTCAAGTGTTCTTCAACCATGAAAGATGCTAGAAAATCACACCACTGTGTTCTCAGAAGGAAAAGTCCGGAACTGAAGGAAGAACAATTATGAATATGTGCAATGTGCACACATTCCCAGATCTAAAACCATCTGTGAAGCTGAGTTCCATCTAGGAAACTAAACATCTCTGCACAAGTTTTACATTTCATACCAGGATGTTACATGTAATAGTTTATTTTGTGTATTGCCCTAACAGAGCCAGAACTTAGTTTTTGAGTGTATTATTAGCTTTGAGAATAAAACTGTTAATCAAATCTAACTTTCTCATTGCTCTTTCCTGCTGGAAATATCTAAGAGTTTCCATAGCTTAAGAACACATTTGACGATCAACATATTAACCTGATATTGTGGGTAATTTTCATGCTGTAAAGACAAGTCTAGATATTATATTAAAGAGAAGTGACTTCCAGGCGCGGTGGCTCATGCCTGTAATCCCAGCACTTTAGGAGGCCGAGGCGGGCAGATCACAAGATCAGGATATCGAGACCATCCTGGCTAACACGGTGAAACCCCGACTCTACTAAAAATACAAAAAAAAAAAAAAATTAGCCAGGCTTAGTGGCGGGTGCCTGTAGTCCAAGCTACGGGGGAGGCTGAGGCAGGAGAATGGCGTGAACCCGGGAGGCGGAGCTTGCAGTGAGGGGAGATCACCCCACTGCACTCCGGCCTGGGCGACAGAGCGAGTCTCCGTCTTGAAAAAAATAAAAAAAAAAAGAGAGAGAGAGAGAGATTTCACTACAAAGAATTCATGATAATGTATATATCCATATAAGTATATTCATAAAATGAAAAAACTGGCTTCAATTAACTGTTTTACATAAATTATTTTTAGTTTTCAACGATTTGGATAATTGAATCTGTCATTGTATTTTGATAGTTTTGTTTTTATTTCATTCTTGCTTTATTTAGTGTTTCGTTTAGTCTTTGACCTGTTAAAGACCTGATTTTGAAATTATTCAACTGCCAGGTAGAGATTATGACTAGCGCTAGCATGGAACCAAGGCTGCACATAGTAGCCCATTGCTGCATTATTTTCCCCTGGCTTTAGCTAGCCATCAGCTCACCTCTGGAATGTAAACTCAAGCTTGGCATGTATGTGTATGTGTGTGTGCCTATGGATGTGAATGAGCGTGATTTCTATAATGATTTGCAATTCCCACTACCACAATCCAAATGTCAAAACTTCTCCAAGGGGGCAAAGGGAGAGAATAAATTAATATGAATTTTAAATAAATCACAGAGCCTGAAGGAACTGCTTCATGATGGGCATATAACTCAGAACCAAGTGCAATCAGTAAAGACCAGGAAAAGCCAACACGGCGTTTCCTTCAACTAGGACTCATGGATGTCATGCTTGCCAGCCAAAGTACAGTAGACTATGGTCTAATGCCAATACAAAGGCCATCCAGGGAATCCTGATGGCCCATTAAGCTGCCCTGGATGTCTGAGCCACAGGGCACTTTCCCCCTTTGCTTTGGAGAACATGAGCTACATCTGAATGAGGTCCTATTTCTGGGCCTTACACTGCAGGAGTCCAAGAACACATTCTCTCAAGATACAGTGTTCCCAAAAGAGCATAGGCCCAGGATGAGAAAACCCAGGTTCAAGTTCTACCACCCACAGGCCATCTCCCAGGTTCAGTTTCCCCATGAAGTGCCGTAACAAGTGGGTTTTCAGGTCCCTTCTACCAGTTCCAAGTCTGTTTCTATAGATTAAACCTCAAAAGAGTTGACAGGAATCGAATCAATAAATGTGATTTCATAAATGTGTTCAGAACACAACATTGAATAACCTGCCCAGGATTCAGATTGAGAAACTGGAACTCAAATATAGAGCAGGTTTGGAGAAATCCTCTGACTACCCTATACCAGGGGTTCCCAAATCTGGCTGGAATGACCAGTGGCACTCATTAAAAATGTTTAAGCTTCTGGACCCCACTTGAGGTCCAGGGTAGGGCCTGAACATCTGTATTTTAAAATTCATTTACGAAATTTTAAATGGATGAATCTCTTACATGGTTAAATAATTGTGTGTGTGTTTGTGACAGAGTCTTGCTCTGTCACCCAGGCTGGAGTGCAATGGCACAATCTCAGCTCACTGCAGCCTCCGCCTCCCAGATTCAAGTGATTCTCCTGCCTCAGCCTCCCGAGTAGCTGGAACTACAGGCGTGTGCCACCACACCCAACTAATTTTTGTATTTTTTTGAGTAGAGACAGGGTTTCACAATGTTGGCCAGGCTGGTCTCGAACTCCTGACCTCAAGTGATCTGCCTGTCTCAGTCTCCCAAGGTGCTGGGATTACAGGTGTGAGTCACTGCACCCAGACCACAGTTAAATAATTTTTTTAAAGATATAAAAAGACGTTCTGTTAAAAGTCTCCTTCCCACCTCTGTCTCCCAATTGCCCAGTTCCTACTCACTTATCCCCCTCAGGTAGCCAGTGTCATTGGGGCATGTGCCTATGTGTGTGTCTGTGTGTGTGTCTTTGTGTGTGTCCTGAAATTCTTTTTATGCAAGAAAACAAAAACAAAAACAAAAACAAATAAAAAAACTCTACTCGTCTCCCTTTTTAAAAAACTAAATGACAATAACATACTTTTTTCCACTGCACAGTATTCCATTACATGGAGGAAGCACCTGTTTCCTATTAATGAGCATTTATTTGGTTCCAGGCTTATTGCAGATCCTGCTGCAGTGAGTATATTTGCAGGCATGCCATTGCAAATGTGTACCTGCTGGAGTGTACCTGTTGCAGTATACCTGTTGCAGTGAGTATCTTTACAGGCATGCCATTTCATAACTGCTGGAGTGCATCCTATAATAAATTCCTCAAAGTGGCCTTCTGAGTCAAAGAGCACACACATTTATAACTTGAAAAAATGTTGACAAATTGCGTATTTTTTTAAACAGCTCCTATGTGATTTTAACACATTACTCAATCTGTGGGAGGGGAGACCATGCCCTGGACCAGTGCTTCTTAGTCTTCAACATTTAACTTTTTAAACTGCAAATCACCTAGGGAGCTTGTTAAAATGCAGATTCTAATTCTGGAGTTCTAGGATGGGCCTAAGAATCTGTATTTCTAGCAAGCCCCCAGGTGATGCCAATACTGCTGGTCCATGGACTGCACTTTGAGTATCAAGACCCTAGAGGACACATAGTGAGCCTAATTCCCAGGTGTCAGCTGCCATGCCATGAAGGCAATTACACTTAACATGCCCAACACCTAAATTCCAGTCCCGGGACAGTAATTCACTAGCTGAGGGGCCTTGCCCCAAATTCCTACATTTTCTGAGCCTCAGTCGCCTTATCTGTAAAACAGGTGCGGTAAAGATAAGTCTGTAAGGATTAAATAACACCGGTACATCTCAAAAACAATGTGCTGAGCAAAAGAAGCCGGACAATAGAATACTTGCTGTAAGATTCTATTTTTGTGGAACTGTAGAATAGGCAAACTCAATCTATGGTGATAGAAATCACAACGGGTGCCTCTGGTCTGGGGCAAAGGGGACTAACTGGGAAAGGGGAGGAGAGAACTTTCAGGGGTAGTGGAAATATCTCACTTGTTTTATGGTAACACGGGTATATACATTTGTCAAAACTCACTGAACTATGCACTTAAAATATGTGCATTTTATAACATGCAAGTTATATCTAAATTTAAAAATAGATGAAAAGTAAATGATACAACTTAGTGTAAACTGACGTGTCATCAAAATAGAAGCTAGTCTTAACTTAAGGAAATGTGCCACCTGCGTGCATGGATGAGGTCATCGATCGACAGGGGACCAGAGACGGACCTCCACCCCTGCGTGGGTAGCAGCGTGCTCCCAGCCCCGCGCCCCCGGGGCGGCCCACGCCCTGCCTCGGTTTCCCCCGATGGCCGCCGCTTACTTGCTCCGGAACTCGTCGAGCGCGCGCTGCGCCTCGGTGCCCTGGCGCTCCAGCCGGGTGCGCTCGGCAGCCAGGTCCCGGGCGCGCTGGCGGTTGCTCTCGACTTGGCGGGCGAGGGCGTCCTCGGGCCCAGCCAGCTCGCCCAGGCGCTGGAAGGCATCCAGCTGCCGCCGGAGCCCGGCGTGGCGCTGCTCGAGCGCGCGGGCCCTCTGGACGTGGGCGGCCACGCGCTCGCCGAGTCCCTGCAGCGCCGCCAGGCTAGTGGCCCCAGCCCAGCCCTCGTCTGCCGGGCGCTCGGGCTCGGCGGCGCGCGAAGCCTCATCGGCGCGCTCGTACTGCTCCTTGCGGGTCTGGAAGACGTAGCTGCGCCGGTACATGGCTGCTCTGGCGCGGGCGCGCGGGCGGCGCGGAGCCGGCTCTCCAGGAGGCCCCCGGCGCAGCCAGCAGCCCGCTAAATAAACACCGGAGGCCCCCGGCGCGCTACTGGGACGTTCCAGAGCCGATCAGCAGTTGGGCCCGGGCGCGGGAGAAGAAAAGAGCAGCTGCCCGCTTTGTGCGGCGGATTAGCGGCCCATACAGCTCCGGGGTTGGAAGGTTACGCGGGCAATGAGGTTTTTGTTCCGTGATTGTTCAGGCCTGTTGCTTTTGATTGAATGGAGGGTCAGGGGACACGGAAGGCATGACGCTCTTTTGACTGGTTCCACTGGGGACTGTGAAGGAATTCCCCAGGCGAGCTCTTTAAACTTGCACTAGCTCAAGAGCCCAGGGCTTGTCACTTTGTCTCCTCTCTCATTCAAACTCAATTGTAGAACTCTTTAACAACGCCATTTTTTTTTTCTGATTACTTAAGCAATTTTTTTTTCTTTTGGCCTTTTTTATTTCCAATTGCTCGGTTATGCATGCAGCAATTCTTTCTCATAACCATAACACGACGTTTAGCACCCCTCTCTATGGCAGAGGTTCTTAACCATGGATGCAAAATAAAATGGCATGTCTCCATAAGTAGTGAGGTGTGTCGCAAGTAATTTCTTAGTAATACCAGTACATATTTGTGAAGAGCCTACAGTAACTTAGGAGACATGCACGGTTATGTTTTTATAATTCACCCATGCTCCGATGGAGTTTGACATCCTTTCTTGAATGGAAAAAACAAATAGAGCCTCACCTATGGGGCTATAATAGGTGGCTAACGCCTGTAATCCTAGCACTTTGGGAGGCCGAGGCGAGCCGATCACCTGAGGTCAGAAGTTTGAAGCCAGCCTGGCCTACATGGTGAAACCCCGTCTGTACTAAAAACACAAAAATTAGCCGGGCGCGGTGGCGCGTGCCAGTAATCCCAGCTACCCGGGAGGCTGAGGCAGGAGAATCGCTGGAACCTGGGAGGCGGAGGCTGCAGTGAGCCGAGATCGCGCCACTGCACCCCAGCCTGGGTGACAGGGTGAGACTTCGTTTCAAAAAAGAAAAAAAAGTTGCTTTTTTCTTTTCCCTTTTTTAACATAAAATGTAATACAAAAAATTTTAATTAAAAATGAGATGGAGTCTTGCTATGTTGACCAGGCTGGTCTCAAACTCCTGGGCTCAAGTGATCCGCCATTAATTAGCCAACCCTCAGTTAGAGAATAATAAAGGATTTTTCGCCATTATGTTTCATTTTAATTTTTATTATGGAACTAACAGTTGGATTTTAAGGACAAGCTTTTAAAATAAATAAATAAAAATATATATACACAAAATAGCTAAATTTTGACAAATTTAAAAGTAAATTGTGAGTGTTGAAAGAAATATATATATATATAAAATAGCTAGATTTTGACAAATTTAAAAGTAAATTGTGGGTGTTGAAAGAAATTAATACCACTTGATGAGAATGTTTCTGAATGTAAATATTTTGTCATACCTCCAACTTTAAAAATCATTATCAAAGGGTTGTTTTCTTAAAAGTGAGGATTAGTAGTACCATATAATTACTAACTATATGAATTGTGTGTGATTATACTACAAATTAAAGATGGAGAAAGAAAATTACACAGATCTTTGTGGAGTTTATTATTACACCAAATTATTACCTTAAGATAATAGATTCAGTCTGGAATAAAGCTCTGTAAGGCCCTAAACTGTGCTGGTGACATGGTTATTGTTCTATTTCCTTAAACCATTTAAAATTAGATTTGGTCAGGTGCAGTGGGCCACACCTGTAATCCAGAACCTTGGGAGGCCAAAGTGGGAGGATATCTTGAAGCCAGGAGTTCAAGACGAGCCTCGGCAACATAGTGAGACCCCCATTTCTTTCATTTGTAAAACTAAAAATAATAAATAAAAATACATAAAATTTGATTGTATGGTCAAATTGAGAAGAACCATATGAATATTTTTGTAGGTGCACATATACCATGCTGATAGCATAGTAAATTGACTTCAGGCTTCCTCAAGAGCAAAACCAACATACAGCAAGTTATAAAAATCATTTGTTTCCTTTGATATCGTGTATCAGTCAGATATTGCTACAGAACAAACTGCCCCCAAAACTAAATGGCATAGAAGTATTTATCACTGCATTCCCTGGGACTGGGAGCTCAGCCGTCTTCCAGCTGTAGGTCTCCTTTCAGCAGGGGCAGCTCTGCTCCCAATGTCCCTCAAGCTTCTGAACTAGCGATGACAAAAGCACAAGAGCAAGCCCAGCCATACAAGCTCATCCCAGGCCTTTGTTTGCATCATGTCTGCTGGCATCCTATTGGTCAAAGCAAATCACATGGCCACAAATAAAGTCAAGAGGAGGCAAGGAGGAGTCAGGGCTCAGCTTGAGGCCCTGGCAAGGGTGTGGGTGGATAATCCCATCATGCTGGAGTGGAGAATCAGGACCCACAACTCAATCGACCACACATGGGAATCCCATCTGAGAAAAATATATTCTAGAAACATAACAAAAAATTATTTCAATTTAATCCAGTGAAATAAACACTCAGAAAATACCTCCTCACAAAGCATAGCCTCAGAGTTAAATATTGCACAAAATCAAGTCTCTGCCCTCAGGGTGCTGGTGGAGAATCCATACTGACTAACGAAAACACAAGATAATCTGGACAACTTCTGAAATAAAGATCTTAGCAAAATGCTGCGATTGTATTGTCTAACTTCAGGTGCACTGGGAAACGCAATCCTGCTATGTGCTTAGAAGGAGTGTGCAATATTTGTCAACAACCCTAAAGACCATATCACTGGTGGGAGGTTATTCAGTAGGAGTAGAGATCATATGCATAAGGAAGAAATCATTGCTGAATGAATTTGTTAATTCAAGAGGCATGTTTGTAGAGATAGGTTCCACAGGACTTGATGAAAGGTCAGTTATGGAAGAGTTACTCTAAATACAGTTGAATGGCACTAGTTTGGGGGCAGGGACAGGAAATGTATGTTGTTAGAATAAGAAAGATCTGAGGTTAAGTTCTGGTCCCATCACTTCAGTAAGTGATGTAACCTATCTAGTCCCAGTATGGAGACTGGTAAAATGAGAATAATCGCTTATATAATCGCTTATATAAGTATGGTAACCATACATCCCAGTTTGCCTAAGACGGTCCACATTTACACCCACTATCTCAGCATAAATATAGCAAGCATCATCTTCCACTCTCAAGGGTATCTGGGTTTGTCTGAGAAAGACATGTCTTTTATCTAGCCTGCATAACCTGAATATATAGCCTATATCTGAGCATAAGGAATCATCCAGATAAATCCCAAAGAAGGAACATTCTATTAATAAAAACATTCTATAAAAATGTTAATATCATAAAAGACAAAGAGAAGCTATGAAAATGTTCCAGATTAAAGGAGACTAAAGAGACATGACATCTAAGTGCAATATAGGGCTGAGTGCAGCAGCTCATGCCTGTAATCCTAGCACTTTGGAGGCTGAGGTGAGTGGATCACCTGAGGTCAGGAGTTCAAGACCAGTCTGGCCAACACGGTGAAACCCCGTCTCTACTAATAATACAAAAAATTAGCCAGGCGTTGTGGTTTGTGCCTGTAGTCCCAGCTACTTGGGAGGCTGAGACATGAGAATTCCTTGAATCCGGGGGGACAGAGGTTGCAGTGAGCCATTATCACACCACTGCACTCTAGCCTGGGTGACAGAGTAAGACTCTGTCTCAAAAATAAAAATAAGTAAATAAATGCAATATGGATCCTAGACTGGATCTTGTAGTGGAGGAGAAAATCTGCTCTAAAGGTTATCACTACGTTCATTAACAAAATTAGAATATAGACAGTAGATTAGACCATAAAATTGTATCAAGATTAAATTTACTGCCGGGCGCGGTGGCTCACGCCTGTAATCCCAGCACTTTGGGAGGCCGAGGCGGGCGGATCACAAGGTCAGGAGCTCGAGACCACGGTGAAACCCGTCTCTACTAAAAATACAAAAAAATTAGCCGGGCGCGGTTGTGGGCGCCTGTAGTCCCAGCTACTCGGGAGGCTGAGGCAGGAGAATGGCGTGAACCTGGGAGGCAGAGCTTGCAGTGAGCAGAGATCGCGCCACTGCACTCCAGCCTGGGCGACAGAGCAAGACTCCGTCTCAAAAAAAAAAAAAAAAAAGATTAAATTTACTGAAGTTTATGACTATGCTACAGTTATGTAAAATAATATCATTATTCTTAGAAAATATACTCTGAGATGCTGGGCGCAGTGGCTCACGTCTGTAATCCCAGCACTTTGGGAGGCCAAGGTGGGCGGATCATGAGGTCAGGAGTTCAAGACCATCCTGGCCAATGTGGTGAAACCCCATCTCTACTAAAAATACAAAAAAATTAACAGGGCGTGGTGGTGCACACCTGTAGTCCCAGCTACTCAGGAGGCTGAGGCAGGACAATTGCTTGAACCCAGGAGGCAGAAGTTGCATTGAGTCAAGATAATGCCAATGCATTCCAGCCTGGCAACAGAGCGAGACTCCGTCTCAAAAAAATGAAAATATACTCTGAGCTATCTAGGAGCAAAGACCCACGATGTATGCAACTTATTCTCAAATGATTCTGAATAAGATGGCATGTATAAATATAAATATAAGTAAGTATGAGAGATAGAAAGGAAATTAGACAAAATATTAAGAGGTGAATCTGGGTTGTTTGTACTATTCTTGCCATTTTTACTAGAAAGTTTGAAATTATTTTCCAAAACACCTGCAAAAAGTGTGATCACCTTTGCAGTATAGACATTTAATAAATACAACTTGCTTTATGTTATAGCTATATATATGTATAATGGCTAAGAGAGGGAGAGGTGCAGAGAGGAGAATGGCTTAGCAAACTGCAGTAACAATAGGAGAAAATGGGCTATAACCATGGAAAAATTGTACTTATTTATTTTATTTATGTATTTATGTTTAAAAAAAAAAGGTCTTGCTATGTTACCCACACTAGTCTTGAACTCCTGTGGTCAAGCAATGCTCCTGCCTCAGTCTCCCAAAGTGCTGGGATTACAGGTGTGAGTTAGCACACATGGCCCCATCACACAGTTTTAACTGGTAAAGCACAGTGGCTCACGCCTGTAATCCCAGCACTTTGGGAGGCCGAGGCGGGGGATCACGAGGTCAGGATATTGAGGCCATCCTAGCTAACACGGTGAAACCCCGTCTCTACTAAAAATATAAAAAAATAGCTGGGCACCTGTAGTCCCAGCTACTCGGGAGCCTGAGGCAGGAGAATGGCGTGAACCTGAGAGACAGAGCTTGCAGTGAGCAGGAGATTGCGCCACTACACTCCAGCCTGGGCAACAGAGCAAGATTTTGTCTCAAAAAAAAAAAAAAAATTTTAACCTTGTGGAACATACTTTGATATAAATGAAAATGCTTATAACAAACTTGAAGGGGAAAAGAAAAGCAAAATACCAGATGCATGGTGATTTTAACAGTATAAAAATATCAGAAATTAGTGAAATATGCCAGGTTTAATGTTCATCATATCTTTTATCATGAACAAGGCAGGTGGACTGCTTGAGCCCAGAAGTTCAAGACCAGCCTGGGTAATGTGGTGAAACCCTATCTCTACAAAAAATATAGGCACATGCCTGTAGTCTCAGCTACTCAGGAGGCTGAGGTAGGAGGATCACTGGAGCCTGGGAGGCAGAGATTGCAGTGAGCTGAGATTGTACCATTGCACTCCAGTCTAGGTGACAGAATGAGACCGTGTCTCAAAAAATAAATAAAATAAAGTTATTTAAATGTAAAATAAACTTTTAAAATTTTTTAATTAAAATTTTTTCACTAACAAATATCTAAAAGCCTGAGTAAAATAGGCTTAGATGCTTTGCCTTTTAGCCAATTTCATACTCTAGCATTTTGAGCCATCCCTCTCAGTTAAGATACATTCTGAGTTTGCTTTGGACATTTTACAGAAACAAAAGGTAATGGAGATAATCTCATATTCCTTAGAGGTGGGTTTCACGTTAGGTCTCTGCTGTCTACTATTGTGTGACCTTGATCAGGTCAATCTGTTTTCTAAAATGATGGACTTAAGCTAGAGAATATCTAAGGTTCCTTTCTGCTTATTATGAGCAGAATTGTCTTCTTCCAAATCTCACATGTTGAAGTCCTAACTCCCTCAAAGTGTGGCTGCCTTCAGAGATGGCGCCTGTAAAGAGGTAATTAAAGTAAATTGAGGCCGTTAGGGTGGACCCATCTGTGGTGCTTTGTTCTGGAAGCCCTAGCAAACGAATATACTGCTCTAACACTGACTGCACCTTTTACCATCCCTCCTTTTCCCAGAATATGCAAATGTCTGCCACAAGAGGGCCACCCCGCGCTAAAATTGAATGCCCTGCCACATGGTCCCTCCAGGGTGCACAGTTTGAAGCCTTTCCCACCAAACTGGACCAACTCAAAAGGTAAATCAGCTATGGAAAGTCTCATTTTGAATAAGGTGGCCAACAGCCCAGGAGTGAAAGGGCAGGCAGACCCCTGGCTCCCGGAACCCTACTATCCCTGCTCCCTGTAACCGGGCCTCTCTGTGAGGCGCCAGTCCCTAAAGACACACCTGTGAAGTATGCTCAGTGCTCCTGAAAGTGATGAGTCTGCAGGAAGGGTCACAGCAGATGGAGAAACACACTCAGAAGCAAGACTGTCTCTCCAACTGCACACATGTAGTTGACTCTGAAGAGTTTCTGGAAAGTGAAGCCTGATATTCAAACATTATCAAAGAGAGCACTAAGCATCCAACCTGCTTTTCTCAGGGTCTAATTCAGAAACTGAAGCAAGTATCCAAAAAAAAAAAAACCCCAAATTTGTGTGACAGCAAGTGTGTGGCTGGTTCTTTGACTGATGGGCACCGACAAAAGGCAGGATTACCAAATGTAACGCAGGATTCTAAACTGGACCCTAGACTGCAAAAATAAAATCTATAAGGGGCATTGTTATGACAAATGATGAAATTTGAATATGGAATGGGGATTGATAAAAACATTGTATCAGATTTAAAATGTCTAATTTTAAACATTGTATTATGACATGTAAGAAAATGATCTTGGCTGGGTGCTGTTGCTCACCCCTATAATCCCAGCACTTTGGGAGGTCGAGGCAGAAGGATTACTCGAGCCCAGGAATCCAAGACCAGCCTGAGCAACAAAGTGAGACCCCGTCTCTACCCCAAAAATACAAAAATTGGCCGGGCATGGTGGCACACATCTGTAGTTCCAGCTGCTTGGGAGGCTGAGATGAGAGGATCACTTGAGCCTGGGAGACAGAAGTTGCAGTGAGCCAAGATTGTGCCACTGCACTCCAGCCTGGGTGACAGAAGGCCACTCTGTGTCAAAAGAAAAAAAAAAAAGAAAGAGAAAGAGAGAAAGAAAGAGAAAGAAAGAAAGAAGGAAGGAAGGAAGGAAGGAAGGAAGGAAGGAAGGAAGGAAGGAAGGAAGGAAGGAAGGAAGGAGAAAGGAAGGAAGAAAAAGAAAAGAAAGAAAGGGAAGAAGGAAGGAAGGAAAGAAAATGACCTCATTCATAGGAAACTGGTTTGGGGATAAGGAGGCATGATGTCCAACTTACTCTCAATGGTTCAAAAAATAAATAATAGACATGCACTTATGTTGATATAAACATATATAAATAAGTACATAGAATAATAAAGCAAATGATTGGTAGATTTAGGTATGAGGTATAGAAGTTCCTTTTACTCCTCCTGCAACTTTTCCATAAGTTTGAAATTGTAACAAAAGAAAAAGTTACCTCTCAAAATCCCAACACCTCCAGGAAAATTGTGCTGACAACAGGTGTTTCTTAATGATAGCAAGAAAATGCAAAAATCTTCCTTTGATTCACCAGATGGTATCATGGTCTCAGCAACTAAAATTTCATTGACAACCACAGTAGGAGTTTTACACCTACCAAAATGATGGTATGGATTTTCAGACACATCTGGGCTTGCCTTCTCTACACAGTCCCAGAATGTCCTTGAGACATTGTCATACCAACTCATCGTCATTCTGATTATGCACGAAAAGCAGCCCTTCCCATGACCTCAGAAATGCAGAAATGAGTCATTGTCCCAGCGGGTGCCATCCTCAGGACTGAGTTTGGAGAAGTCTCTTTTACGGTTATAATTTCTGTGGCTATAAATCTAGCCATGGTTTTCATATTTCTGCTCTGTATTTCTCTCTAAGATATCATTAAACAAACCTACCACCACTTTCAAGTTGGGTCAGCCTACATCTGAACCACAGTCCCTTTCCTTCTGGGAATAGATTGTTAGGTGGTTTGATGTATTACCAAGCCACAGTTGTCCAACTGGCATGCCCACTCTGTCCTAAAAAGGAGGATGCTCCAGCCCTGCTTTGTACCAGTTAGGAGACAGAGTCCAAGGAATTGGGCACATGCATCCATGAATATATTTCTTCTCTTTTTTTTCCAGTGGGGTCTTTCTCTGTCTCTGGGTCTTGCCCAGGCTGAAGTGCAGTGGTACAATCTCAGCTCACTGTAGTCTCAACCTCCTGGGCTCATCTGACCTCCCACCTCAGCTGCCAAACTAGCTGGGACTACAGGTGCACACTACCATGCCCAGCTAATTTTTAAACTGTTTTGTACACACAGGAGTCTTGCTGTGTTGCTCAGGTGGTCTCAAACGCCTGGCCTCAAGTGATCCTCTTGACTCAGCCTCCCCAAGTATTGGGATTACACGTGTGAGCCGCCATGCCCAGCTCATGAATATATATCTGATAGAAATATACATTCATGTATTCATAGATTGAAACATACATTTGGGGGCTGGGCATGTGGCTATCACCCAGCACTTTGGGAGGCTGAGGCAGGTGGATTGATTGAGCCCAGGAGTTTGAAACCAGTCTGGGCAACATGGCAAAATCCTGTCTCTCTCTCTCTCTATATATATATATAAAAAAAATACAAAAAAATAGCTGAGCAAGGTGGTGTGCCCCTATAGTCCTAGCTACTGGGGAGGCTGAGGTGGGAGGATAGATTGAGCCTGGCAGGTCAAGGCTGCAGTGAGCCATGATTGTGTCGCTACACTCCAGCATGGGCCACAGAGCAAAAGTCTATCTCAAAAAAAGATAAAAAGAGCCTGGCGCAGTGGCTCACGCCTGTAATCCCAACACTTTGGGAGGCCAAAGCAGGCGGATCACCTGAGGTCAGGAGTTCAAGATCAGCCTGGGCAATATGGTGAAACCCCGTCTCTACTAAAAATACAAAATTAGCCGAGCGTGGTGACACTTACCTGTAATCCCAGCTACTCGGGAGGCTGAGGCAGGAGAATCTCTTGAACCTGGGAGGCAGAGGATGCAGTGAGCCGAGATCGCACCATTGCACTCCAGCCTTTGCAACAAGAATAAATCTCCGTCTCACCACAAAAAAAGAAAAAAAAAAGAAACATACATTTGGGTTGTCCATTGTTTTGTAGGTCCAGGTCTACTTTTCTATTGATATTAGTAAGGACTGATTGAACACAAGAGAACATGTTCTGTCTTCCAAAGTTTACTAGCTTCCCAGTGTTGACCTGAAACTGGGGGGGACAACAGTACAAGCTATTTTATGAACTATTTTCATACTGTGCATACAGTTTAGGAGTATAATAAGGTACAGTTTAGGAGTATACTATACATTTTAAGCCCCTCAACGCCCCCCTCAGACATAAACTCCACATGAAGTTTTCTTTTTTTTTTTTTTTGAGACGGAGTCTGGCTCTGTCACCCAGGCTGGAGTGCAGTGGCGCGATCTCAGCTCACTGCAAGCTCCGCCTCCCGGGTTTACGCCATTCTCCTGCCTCAGCCTCCCAAGTAGCTGGGACTACAGGCGCCCGCCGCCTCGCCCGGCTAGTTTTTTGTATTTTTTAGTAGAGACGGGGTTTCACCGTGTTAGCCAGGATGGTCTCGATCTCCTGACCTCGTGATCCGCCCGTCTCGGCCTCCCAAAGTGCTGGGATTACAGGCTTGAGCCACCGCGCCCGGCCCACATGAAGTTTTCTAATGAAATTTTTAAAATGGTCAGTTCACAGAAGATCGCCATTGTTTAGCAGGGTCTGGTCAAAATTCGAAGAACGACCTATTCCAACCATCTGACTTGTTAGTTCATTTGGTAAGGAGCTACAAGTGATGTGAGTATTTCCTGCTCTTCCACCCTCTACCACCTGCCTGCTCATGGTCAACTCCTGCTGACTTCTGTGCCTTCATTTATTTGAAATTTATGTCATCAGGCTTTACTTCTCACCCAGCATACATCATCCTTTTCTCCATTTCCTGTCACCCTCAGCTTGGACACCAACATCTTCTCTACTCCTTTACACCTCCCACCCAACCCCTCATGTATATTAATATAATGGAGGAAGATGTCTAAAGAGGTCTTCAGTTCTGCACACCCACGCCCCCCATACCCCAAGACACCATTTCAGTTATGGCCCCCTGCTGTTAACCTGGCAGACCTGCCATATGAGCATCTTCACTAGACTGCAGCTCTTTGAGGGCAGGGCTGATAGCAATGCTGGGCATTCCTCAGTGGCCATTCTCCACCTGAGGATCCCCCCAGGGGTCTGCCCTCCATCCTTCTCCATGCCTCTCTCAACACGGAAAGCCTGGCCCTCCCAGACTGCATCACCTTCGGGTGTGTCTCATGTCCTCTAGTTTCCTGTAGGGTTTGGCAAATGGGAGTCACTGTCAGGAGATCAAAAAGACTCCCTTCCTGCTTCCCTTCTGCTCTGAGCATAATCTCTCCTCCAAGATCCTTTCCTCCTTCTCCCTTAAAGCGTATAGGTAGTAATAGTTTCCCACTATTGCTACTACACCATGGGCACTTCACCATGCTTTGTTGATTCATTTGACCCATTAGATATTAGGAACGCTGAGAGCTACAAAATCTCATTCATCAACTAGTTAAAAACCTTCTGACACAAAGTGGATGCCCAATAAAATAAATTAAAGAATGAGTGAATATTGGAGCCAGGAGCTGTAGCATGCACCTGTAATCCCAGTTACTTGAGAGGCTGAGGCGGGAGGATCACTGGAGACCGGGAGTTCAAGGCTGCAGTGAGCAATGATTGTGCCTGTGAATAGCCACTGCACCCCAGTCTGGGCAACACAGTGAGATCCTGTCTCAAAAAAAAAAAAAAAAAAAAAAAAGAATTAGTGAATATTGTATAGAAATTTGAAATAAAAGATAAAGTTTTTGCACGTTGGGAGGTTTGTCTCGAAACTCTTAAATGGGAAAGCTGAATAGTGCTTGGCCAAAGATGGATCATTGCAAGGGATCTTACCAGCAGCTCCAGGCCCTCTCATTCCATGTTTGCTGACCGGGCTGTTTCAAGGGGCATGGTCAAATTTAGTAGCAGTCCAAAATGGAAATTTACTTTGCTCTCTGCTATGACGGCTAGGTTTACATTGTCTTTCATCATTAGAGGAAATATATAGGGACAGAACAAAAATACACTTATTGAGAAAGAGAACAGTGCACCAGTCAGCAGAAAGACTGTAGTTACAAGATACATGAAAAGAAAAAATTAATTCCTTGGAAAAGAGCTTTCTATTTTAAGAAGATGAACAAAATAAGAGATGTCCTTAAGTGATAGCTAATGAAGACACTTCCCAGGCATCCTCGATAGCTGTGGCTTTTCAGACGTCAACTGAAAACAAAATCCATTACAAAGGGTAGCATCCAAGTTGGATTTGGGTTGCTTATTTTGTTCTGTGGTCAGCCTTTGCTGAACATAGCAGTCTAAACCAGAGCCACAGAGTTGTGAGTGGTCCTTGTCTCTCAAATGCCCTTGGACTGTCCTCGGTGACCCTAATTGTATGACTTGGCAAGAACGACAATTAAATAGGATATTTTGGACAAAATTCTCTCAGGGTACATTATTTTTTCAAGGTAACCTGAGTTTTGGGGTGACATACATAGTGTATCCAAAAGGGCCACTTTGTGAGGGTTTGCTACCTGATGTCCTCGTAACCTCCAAAATCAATTTCAGGGCATTGCAGAGTCAACACATCAATGTTCCCCTGCCTGCATTTGGGGCACTAGATGGCTGAGTCGCCTGCAGAAGTGTTCTGGACTTGCCTCTGAGGAGCTCATGAGAGCCAATTGCTAAATTTTCAGGAATTTTGCAAGCTGGTTGACACCTCATCGGTAGCTTGAAATTGGAAATGGTGAGAGTATCTACACCACAGGAATTGATAAACACTACAAATGAAGATATTTCTCTCCTAGAAAGTCAGCTGTTGGCCAAGCATTGTGGCTTATGCCTGTAATCCCTGCACTTTAGAGGCCGAGATGGGAGGACTGCTTGAGCCCACAAGTTTGAGACCAGCCTAGGCAACATCAAGAGACCTCATCTCTACCAAAAAAGAAAAAAAATTCACCAGGTATGGTGCCATGCGCCTATAGTCTCTGCTACTCAGGTGGCTGAGGTGGGAGGATCACTAGAACCCAAGAGGTCAGGGCTGCAGTAAGCCGTGATCGCACCATTGCATGCCTGCTCTGGTGACAAAGTGAGACCCCATCTCAAAAAAAAAAAAAAGAAAAGTCAGTTGTTAAACATTTGCTAACATCACATTACCTGTGAATAATACCATATTTCTGGTGATGGAAACTTTTGGCATTCTTTCCTTAGTCTATTTAAGCTCAAATAGCGTCTTCCTAAGTGTATTGTTTAACATGGAACCCTAAATTTAAATGCCAAGTTTTAAAAAATTAGACAAGAGTTAGAGTATATAGCCCGAGAACATGGCTTGTTTTCGTTTCTAGTTGGCTCAAGATGTTTCTGAAAAATAATTTGTAATAAATTGCCTTATAAAGTTAAAATGCCTTCCAAAACTTTATAAGTCAATTTCAGAAACTAGGGAAGTCAGCCAGTAAATAAAGAGAGAGAGATTTATCTCAAAATAGTTTCGGCACCACTAGAGGAATCTGTCTATGTTTCAGTGGAAAAGGAGGCAGTTACTCCTAGCTAATCTCAATATTTTTTTTTCTCCTGGAATAATGACTGACCATTGGCTCTGTTGTTTTTGGCCAGCTCCTCTACTGAAACAAAAATTTTGTAACTGCAGTGACCTAACTTGGGAAACAATTTTATAACATTTTCTAGGAACCACAAATCATTTGTTTCACTCTTTCTGAAAACCAACAGTGGCGGTAAGCAGAGAGCATATTTTGACGTGTAACAAAGAAAAAACTTGATAAAGTCAGCAGTCAAAAGAGCATTTCAGTTCAAAGAAGGGTCATCCAGAGCCCATGAAATGTTATCAGGAATGAATATGCCTCACACAGCATCACAACCAGCTAAAACCCTGGATCAATCCAGCTTGTTATCAGGGCATACATGGTGACCTTTATTTATCACACAATGAATTTTAAGCTGGGCAGCCAGTTTTAAGAAAAACAGCAGGAACAGTGGTTAGCTGCAAAAACATTTTAGAAGAGACAGGAGAAAATAAAACATTATTGAACTTCTTGATGTGGCTGGAAAACAAAATCCTTCTGGCATGTGACTTAGATTTCCATTGGGTGAATGCAGACGCATCCAAGTTATGCAACATTATTACTGTTGATAGGTTACAAAAAAATCTATCAGCTCATCTATCAGAAAAATCCACCAGCAAAATGCCCTCAAAAGCTTATGAACTATGTACCAGTGAAGATATGAGAAGCAACTTGATATGCTATTGTAGGACATGTGGTCATTAAAACTATGTCCGCTTAAGTTAAATAGTCTAGATTTAAATCCTTCATGATCCATTAGCTGCATGACTGAGACAAGACACTGAACCTCTCTAAGCCTCACATGCTTCATGTATAAACTGAAGGTGACAGAAGTTCCCAAAAGAGTTGTTGTGAGAGTTAAATGTTGTCTGGCATATGGTAAGTGCTTAACGAATATCTGCCTTTATTTTTTGCACGTGGTCTATGTTTATTTTAAGCATCCTTCTTAGCTTGGAGTCCCCGAGAAGCCAACCCCGTGGCAAGGATTTGAGTACAAGTATTGTATTTTGGACATGATCCCAGGACACCAGTAGAGGAGTGGGGAGGTGAGAGGGGGAAGGGAAAATAGCCAATGATGGGAGGATGACCACCATCACCATGCGGGCAACTGGATCTCAATGTATCTAAGGGTTCTAGGAGACAGAGTAGAATGTATCACAGAGATATCCCAGGCAAGGGATGCGAAGCTGGGTACTTATCCACCAACCCCTTATCCATCATTGGTTGAGGGCTGCTCCCTATACAACCCCAACTCCCAATTGTGTAGCACTTGTGGGACCGAAAGTGGCAGATGGTTTAGGGTAAGCAGCCTTTAGCACATAAGAGGTGAGTGCTGAGGGGGTACGGGGGTGCAGCACAGCCACTGCCACAGTCCCACATTATTGTTTTCAGGTAATCAAATTAGCTGAAGTACCTCTACATAGTTATTTTAATAGATCAGCCCTTTAGAGATAATAATGTAACAAAACAAAAGACCTGTGTCTATTCTATGCTGGTTTTATTTTTTATTTTTATTTTTTTTTTTGAAGTGGAGTCTTGCTCTGTAGCCCGGGCTGGAGTGCAGTGGCCGGATCTCAGCTCGCTGCAAGCTCCGCCTCCCAGGTTTACGCCATTCTCCTGCCTCAGCCTCCTGAGTAGCTGGGACTACAGGCGCCCGCCACCACGCCCAGCTAGCTTTTTGTATTTTTTTTAGTAGAGACAGGGTTTCA